CTGCAACTTGGAACTCTTAGTGTTATATTCTAAATGTTGCAACTCATGTGGCAAATTGCATCATTACACTAAGTTTAATCAAAACCGGAGCAGTTGTATCCGAAATATCACGGGTGGTGGATAAATGTGACGAGATAAGTGGATAGAGTCCCAAACACCCTCACCAGTGTTTGTTTTTTACTTGAGCAAAATATTGGGTTCTGAGCCTTTTGAAAGCCGAAACTGATGCATTTCACATGCAGGCTTACTGTGAGAATATATTATTCTTTGTCATGTCTACGCTGGATTCAACTCCTTTGCTGCCACTCACCTCAGTAAGCTGTGTCTGGAGCTCTGCAATTTTTCTCTCGTATATCATCTTTCTGTCTGACACAATGGCCATTAGGTTGAATCGGATCTCTCCTTCACTGTACCTGAAGAGGGAAACAACACAATTTTAGTAAGTACAAAATCATACACTGTCAAGAAAGTTAAGGTAGTACAGTATTTGGCAGGAAAGGTCAGTATATACAGAGAGAATACGATCCATGCTTGATAAGATTAGAAAAAAAGAAATGCAAATAAACCAAATGAGAAGAATGGAAGATTGTCTATTATATTAATTGTCTTTCATTGTTGCTAAACTGCAGAATTAAATTGTCAGATCAAGTTAACTGTTTCTAAAATAAGTGTTTAAAGATATTCACTTTTGTATTCTTTTCTCAATCACTGGGCGGACTGCGCTGATCCAGTCATCCTGGTTGCATGTACCTGGTGAAAAACGCAGACATCAAGATTAAATAATACTGCAGCTGTCCGTACATATAGTAATTGAAAGCACAAACTGTTTGTCATCATAAAACAGACGGTTTTAGGGGAAATGGGCCATGGCCAATACAACAAATTCAGCTGTGCACAACAGGACCTCACACCGAGGGACTTTAAACATAAAAGCAATAAAAGAAAAACATTACATTTTTCTGCTTACCCAGGTCAATTGGTCCCTCTCGAAGTCCATCCAGCTCATATAGTCTGCCGTTTACAGGAACATAGCTCACAAAGTGAAAGGCGTCCTCGTCCTTTGCTGACGACTTTGCATCAAATTCAAACATTTGTTGTCTTCAAATACAAAACACACACAAAAAACATACGTCACACTCCAACAGATGTAGATTCTAGTGTTTTGTCTATTAAAACATCCATGAGCAGGGAAGAAGGAATTACTCTGCTCCAAGAAAATCACAACACAAATCTAAGTCAATAAATCAATGTGATGTACACAATGTTAAAAATTATTGGCCTCAATTAAAAATGCCATCACTAAGAAAGTTGTGAAAGTGATAATGAAAAATGTTTTCTTTTTTTAATTTGTGAAGTAAATACACTTTTGGAGTGACCAACAAATGAACCAGTCTTAACATTTGACTGTTTCACAAAAGCAGACTGGTGCATTAGCAACAAATGGGCCAATCACTTTTCACTGAGTTAGAATGGAGGGGCTAAAAATAACATGAAGCTCATCAAACAGAGCTTCTCCAGCTGGATATGATATGAGGAGCTTACCTGGCAAAGCTGTTGTGAACTTGTCGGATCACTTCAGAGTTGCTAAGAGCCAAACCTTTCATCTGAAGAGAACGGGAGATGCAGGATTATAATGCTGACTGTATAACATTTGACTTAAAGATGCAGCAGCATAAATAATGAACGGCTATAGGGAACATTCCTGTTATAAGTAATGCATCCAATTGGTGTTTAGATTTCAGTAATTATAAAAAGGTACTAATTAAAATAAATGACTCATTTGTTTTGTTTATTATGCCTATAAATATACACAGTGTTTTATACAGTGATTGAAATTAAAATAAATAAAAAGGTCTGTCTTTCCATCTGAAATTAAATAAAAATAATATCAAGTAGCTTTGTCTGGGAGGAAAAAGTGTCTCTACTTTGAGATTTTCCAAACCAAAAGGAGAAGTTTTGCATTATAAATTAGTTCAGCATGGCACTTTCGAAAATTTGTGGGGACAGACAACTGAGTCATCATAGTTTTGAAGGTAAGAGGATAAAACTGTCAGTGTTCGAGATGGAAGGGGAAATTACTACAGCCAGTTCTGTAATAAATACTGCTTCCAGAGGGAAAGCACTCAACATTATTTTTAGAAAGAGTAATGAATAATGTATTACTTATTAAAGTTAGAACAAAAGTCCCTTAAGGTGTCCCTTAAATTAAAATAGTAGGTTCATACTTTTCATTTAACAAATACACTAACAGAAAACTACATTATTAAATGGATATACATGTAAATTCCTGAACAAAAAGCAAAATAGAAGTTTAAAAACAAAACCTACAGTTTTTTGGATTCAAGAGAAAAATACCATGAACGTACAGCGGCATCAAAACTCTGTGAAAACTCTCTGAACTCTGTCAGCGTGTCTCCGAGTAACATGTCAGAATGGGAGCAGTTGAGGAGAACACTGACTATTGCCTGGGTGGCACAGGCGTTGTTAATGACCTGAAAACACACAGATAAAAAGAATCCTTTTATTTATGGTTATGCATCTAAAAGCAACCACATAGTAAATTCAGATGTTAAAAAGCAGATATCAAATTTATGAACCACATATTTTCTGCAAATCCCTGTGACAGCACAGTCTGTTCCATTTTCTCCATCAGCTGTATGTTTTATAAAGTCGCCTAAAAGACTGAAACTCGTCTTTTTCCATACATTTCCACCTGTGATCCCTTATGACGTAGCCAATCAAACCACTGAAACCAACATCTGCACTCTGTGTGTTCGCTGTTGCTTTACCTGGTCGGTGAGTAAAATATCCACCACGACTTGTAACGTAAGTTAATAGTCTACCATTTTTTTACTGAGTGAAGTCTGTGCGAGAACACATGCACATAAGACCCCTGTGCGCACGCAACGACGAAATCGTCCATCCTGATGTTTCATTGTAGACATTATCCGATGGAAATTTTGTAGACATCGCCGAACCCAAATCATGATCTTTCTTTTGAAACTATACTTCAGCAGTTAGGATAATGAGTCAAATGCATCTGGAAGGACTCACATGCATGAGCTGAGAACTTTAGAATAAAATTAGGGCTGGGCAACAAAACAGTAATGATAATTATCGCAATATAACAAATATTTGATTTTAATTAATTTGAATCATGAACAAATTAGCACTTTATTTTTCTATTACCATATTTATTTTGAGGAAAATGGACTGAAAAATGATTTTACTCTGTATTTTTGTTGAAAAAAAGATTTTACCATAATTATTTTGAGCGTTCTACCTCAGATTTGGATAAACATAAAGATGGTGATGGGGCAGTGGATAAGACACGTGCTTTTGGTGTGAGAGAACCAGGTTCAATTCCCCACTGTAACACATCCACCAATGTGTCCCTGAGCAAACCACTTAACTCCAGAGGAGTGCAACCTCTGACATTTATAGCAATTGTAAGTCGTTTTGGATAAAAGCGTCAGCTAAATGAATAAATGTAATGTTAAGAATAGTTTAAAACTACAATTAAACATCTGGTTTCTTCAACTTTTACTCAGGAGCAAAAAATCTGCCTTTAAACTTTTTGATATTGTGATAAATAATTTGATTTCATTCGGGTTTTTTTTTTATAGTGATAACATTTCTGACCACATCACCCAGCCCTAAATAAGATATACAGAAGCAGGTTGCCATTTTCCTTGGCTATGAACTCGTTAATGTTAATTATACTACAGCTGAAACATAATAATGTCATGATAATACTAAAATGATCAGTGTGTGTGTGTTTTTTAACGGCAAAGATACCTGTTTTGCAAAGAAGATGTGGTCAAGCCTCGAATCCTGAACGATTGATCCTGCTGGCTCTTCACCTGGCTGCCACTTGAACAGGAAAATCAACCCATGAACTGGTCTGCAACAGAATATAAAAATAAAATAAAAAGGTCTGTCTTTCTAAAGGAGCATGCAATATAATGAAGCTGCTAGGTGAACATACTTCAAGTTGTCGAAGTTCTCGGGCTCCATACTCCATATCTCTTCAACCTGGGCGCCTTTGCAACCTGACAAGTAACGTTAAAGCATCAAACATCCTTTCACACTTGCTGTAGTAACTGCTTAGGTAACGTTAAGATTTACCCGGCCGTAAACAAACGTGAGCTGACTGAGCAGCTTTTCTCCGTGACGAGTTGACAAGGGGAAAACACAACATTTGTCATCATTCATGGATTTATTTTCACGCGCCGTTGTTTTGAACGCTGACTAATGCTAGCCAGTTAGCTTGCCTAATTAGGTTAGCTAAGGCTTTCCATTCAATACACGCAGCTTTTTGGAGAATGTAGCGTTTGGGGAGGCTGTTAAGAATGCATAGCCTTTAAAATATTTCGGTTGCAGCATCGTAGCATTTTTCACTCTTCGGGCATTGGGTTAATGTTAAGTCAGTAGTCATTTAGAAGTTACCGTTAGCTTTAGGGCAGCTAGCTAGCGCTGTCGGATAGCCACGTTACACTGAATGAGCAGCAGAAACTCACCAAAACCCTTAATCAGTTCTGTAAACACGCCGGGGTCACTCTCCATCAGACACCACTCTCCTGCGCTTCCAGCCATTCTTTACAATGTTGTTTATTCAACCTTTTGTGCGCATAAACACGATGCTAATATCCCAGTTTAGCAGCACACCCGCTAGTCAAGCTAATTTAACTGAAGAACTGGAGTGACCTCACAGTGATGCGGAGGGCAGTCAGGGTGCGCACGTTTTATTTTACAGCGGACACGGAAGGCGACACACATTTAACAAAAACGCGCATTACAAAAGTTCAACTTTTCAATCAACTTTTTAAATATGCATATCTATCTACCTTCGCAAACACAAAACTTTAAATTATTAAACAGAGTAAAAAAGAACTCCATTATGAACTACAACCAAATTCCGCCCTCCAACGAGGAGGAGGGAGGTAACAAATGAAGCACCATTCGGTAAAAAAAAAACAAAAAAAACGCAAAGCAAGACGTTTGACGCTGATAGTGGACTTTATTCATCATAAATACACATTCAAGGCATTTAAAAACGTTTCACACTGGTTGTCACTTCATACATACGCCAATTAATCTATACATTCATAATACTGACCAGCATCATGATTCATTAGGATATTCATACACTTTTCTAAGTCAATCCTAAAAATCAAATCAAAAATTCAGACAAACACAGCTACTGCTGAAATCACACAGCTGTTGACATAAAAAAATGCTTCCACAAGCAACAAAAAATACAAAATTACTCTATTTTTCAGTTTATGTAAATAACATACATTTCTCAATAAGATATATTCAAATACAATAAAATGTCCTAATCAAACATCTGAAGTGCTTTCAATCTTGCATTAAAAGGACTCTCAAATAAACTCATTTTAAAGATGAGTGTTGAATCCTAACATGAATACTTCATGATGTTCAGTTTGATGCTTAAAGAGATCATGTTTTTTTTATGACTGCAATATTGTTCAATAAAACACCCATGCAGACGAGAAGTATGACAAATAGTTCCACTATTTACAGGTTTAGTTTAAAAGATGGCTGCTTTAATAATAATAATAATGATCTTAACAATAATAATAATAATAATATAATAATAATAATACTGTATATGCCCGGTTGAAAATGCATGTAGCCTAACGTCAAGTATCCAGTGCACTTTGATAAATGAATAACATAGTTGTGCTTAAGCAATGTACTACTTGTAGCACAAGATCAAGCAAACATTTAATAAATACAGGATTGGAAAAAACTACTAGAACGGTTAGTCATTTAGTGGACTCAAACTGTCCGCTGCCCGAGCCTTCTGAGCTGGTCGCAGCACAGCAGGGAGCACACTGTTCGATCAGGGGCATCAACTTCCCCTGCTGATGGAGCTGCTTGGTATCAGAGCCACCCCCGATGCAGTTTCCGTTAATAAAGACTCTCGGCACCTGAACACACAAATCATGTCACAACATCAGCATGCGTGAATAAGTAGTTCTTAAAAAAGAAAAGAGGTCTAGTGCCAAGTTATATCTTAAATACTTTAAGGTTTATGAGCCATCTGAAATCCTCATACAGCAGCCCTCTAGCTTCCACTACAGTTAGCCATTAAACTACAGGCAGCCTCAGGAGTCAAGCGTTTAAAACTGTTTAAAACTGTCTTTTACAGTGAAAATCACTGTGTTTTACTATGCAGCTGTGTTTTTAAATTGCTACAAATAATTGTGTCATTTGGCTCTGTCTTTACCAATACCTGTGTGTTGTGACTCTTCCTTTCATCAAAATGTTTCAAAGAGAGTCTATTTTAATGGAGATAAAGCAGATATAAATCGGATCCTTTTCTTTATTGAAGTCGACTGTGTTTTGTCTAACATCCACCACAGCCTGCTCTCCTTTACGACAGCTGCAGTATTTTGCTCAGATGCCGGTGAGAATTGAGAGTGTGAGTATCTGTGCGCACAGTGACTCGAGTTCTGACACCCAGACAGACAAATCAATGTAGTCCATCGACTATACTCGCCTTTTCTTTGTTTTTCATTGTGGAAAAGTTGTACCTCTACCTGCTACCAGGTGCTTTTTTTCATATCACCTCCATCAAGGTTCCAAGCGAGCTGAGGCGATACTAAAATGTGATGTGAAAACACAGCAGACTACTGATTGGTCAAATTGTCACTATTCACTGCATCATCATTGCGTGCGCCAGACAGGTCAGCAACAAAGTTTTATATTTTACAAATTTTACATATGTTATTTCATCATTAAATCCCCATCTGAGAAGTTTTGAGGAAAGAAGACATCTGTGTAGATTTCAAATATTGACAGTTTTACAAAAAGTGATGGTGCAACAAAAATGTGCTTGAAAGTTTCTGAGTTGAGAAGCCCCGCAAGTGCCGGCAGGGGAAGCCTGCGCCAACCTGCAGGAGGAGCTTGCGAGGCCGGCCAGCCGTCCGCTCACTGAGCCCCTCTGGTCCCACTGTCACACAGACCGCTGCAGCAACAACGGCAGAGGAAAACACAGCTGGAAGGTTTTCATACCGCTTCTCTGTCTTTACATTCTGAGGAATGTTGAAACGTTTTAACTTGAATCAAGAGACAGCTGTTTGTGGGTGGCTGGTGCGTGTGTCGCATTGAACATTATGTCGCAGCAGTTGTGTGTGGCGTCACTATGATGACCAGCTACATTAAGGGGTACTATCTCTTGGTATCTGTAATGGAAAACGAAGCAAGGCCAATCCGAGTCGAGTAGACTCGAGGCGAGTTGAGCTGGAATTGGCGTAAAACATTCAGCTAGTTTCTCACTTTTAGCCGCCGCTGATCGTGGCTTTCGCCAGTTAAAATAACAAATGGCAGCAGTGATTTAATAGCTGTTGCTAGGAGTGGTGATGACGCAGTGGATAAGACCCAGGTTCGAATCCACTGTGAGACACCAACGTGTCCCTGAGCAAGACACTTAGTTGCCCCAGAGGCGTGCGACCTCTGACATATACCGCAATTATTCGTCGCTTTGGTTAAAAGGATCAGCTAAATGGAAATGTATTAATGTTGATTTCATAAGTAACTTGATGACAGGCCAAAATGAAACTTGTCTGTTCAAGCCAGTGTCTGTACTCGGCTCAAGATATGTGAGGGAGGAACCTCCACTCTGTAAAACAGCGAGTGGACTGTAGTTCTCACAATTCCACCAGGGCGATTTGTTTTCTCTCTCAATGACATTTAAAGGTTCAGTGTGTAAGATTTAGTGGCATCTAGTTGCGATGGTTGTGAATTGCAACACTCTTTCCCTTGCCCCCTAACCTTTCAAAGAGGGTAGGACAGCTACAGTGTCTGACACAGCACAAAAGATGTCTCTTCTGAGACAGCAGAGAGTGGCCAGTCAAGAAACGAGGGTTCTTTAGGTATATTTATTAAGAAATTATGTTTACTTAATTATTCAGTAAAACCAGATATTATTGCGACTTTGCCACTGACAAACAACATGAAAAATGTAAGCCAATAGTGTGAAAAACTGTCACTGTTTCTGCACCACAGTCCATTATAAACCACAAATTAAATAAAGTTTATACAAACATTGACAAGGGAACATCTCTCTGTGATTATGGATCATCGCCAAAACTGCCCGCCAACAATAATATCTGGCTTGGTGCCAGATTATGGTGCTTTAATAGCGGCAAAAAATATAAATAAATAAATACTTTGATGGCAGTGCTGAAATAGATCTCAGTCATGACAGCAACAGTTCCTCACATAATCACTTCCTTTTTAGTGGTTTTGCCTGCAAAAAAAAGCGCAAGAAAGCTTGTTTAATGCCATCTTGTATTTAAAGTTGAACTGAGCTTTTACTTTGAAAAACTCTTAACGGCATTAAAAGTCTGTAGCCTGCTTGACACACCTCTAAAAGAGCCCTCAGAGATCATGATTCCACTAAATGTCCTCTACCTGGAGATAGTGGGGAAATGCAAAAGCGTCCGTAGGTTGATGGATGAGGATCAAACACCAAAACAAAAACAGTGCAGCACATGTCATGATCTGAGAAACATTCGCTGCAGAATTCCTTTGTTGCAGAGAAACCCCCCCCAAAACACTGCCCTAAGTTGAGATTGAACTCTCAATCCTCAGGTTATGAGTCCTGCGCCTTACCAACTGAAGGAAGGTAATATTAAGGCTCATATTCTCATCCACCATCTAATGGTTGAAAATATTGCTCCGATCCAAAACTTATTTGCAGACCCCTGCAGTATATTATTACTACTACTACTACTTCTTCTAACGTACGTATTCAACACAGTGATGAGTGTCTGCACTGCCTGAATTCTGCCAGACGTAGAAAAAGAATAATAATGTAGTGACAAAACACTGTACTGTAGCCATGTTTGTCCGTCTACAGCTACTGTAGAAACATGACGATGCAACGTGGCGACGTCCATGGAAGGAGGTGACCGCGGTTATGTATATATTCTAAGGTACTAAAAACATCTCAACGGAGGGGTATGTATTGTTGTGGTTTTTTGTCCCCTCTCGTTGCTAGGTTTCGGTTGAGTGGTGATTGACAGAATCCACTTGTGCTCACTCAGCTACAGGATCAAGGAGGCGGTTCCTCCACGGGTCGCTCTCACTCCTTCGTGGTGCCGGCCGGCGGCAGACTGTGCTCGGTAGGTTAGGTTTGGCCTGGAGTATGTCTCCTGTGATCTTTGTTTCTTTTTGTTCTAATAATAAAACGCGTGGTTAATTTTTCATCAGGAGTCTCCCATCCTTGCTTGCAGTACTTAACATCAGTGGTTACTCCCTAATCCCCTACTGGGACGTAACAATGGGTTATTATGTAAGGTCTTTAAATACCACTGAAAACATAGTTATGGATCTTATATTGTATTTCTGTCGATAGATCCTCAGAAATATTACACACTGAACCTTTAACTTTTATTCATATCATATCAATAATTTTAATCTCATCAATGTAATAATTTTAAAACAGTACCTTCACAACATTTGGATCAAGTAACTAATGGAAAATCAGGTGTTTCAGATTTAGTGTCAGACACATATTTGATCAACATTTAGGTTAATTAAAGTATCGGATATGAATCAGAATGGGCCGATACTCAATGTTAAAAGGACTTAAAAGATCGGAGGTAAAAAAACAACAACTTTTAAATGCCTGTCTATAAATGTTTTACTAGGGGATTTTGCAACTCAGTTTGTGAAAAGTGCAATATAATGAGTTATTATTTTACCTATTTTAAATCATTATTTTATTACTTTGTCATTGTGAAATAACTTAAAACTAATTAATAACTAACTATAAAACCTACTAATCATTTGTTTTTAAAAATATATAACTTAACCAAAAACAAATCAACAAATCAGAGTTGAGCTGTGCCTCTTTCAACTGTAAAACCCGGTTGTTGTTTTTTTTAAAGGGACGAACACAGTGAAAAAATGTGTAAATGGGAGTTGTATGTACATATACAGACTTACCATATAAAATTAAGTCATTTAATTCTTTTTAACTCTCACATTGATCTAAAAACATTTTGTATCTTAGAATTTCTGTTAAGGGTCCTTAGTGTATTTATGCAGTAACTATTTCAAACTGGAAAATTAGTGTTAAACATAATATTTAAATAATTACTCAATCAAATTGTATGTATATTTATGCTATCATTAAAGGCTATTTTCTGACAAAGATGCAACTTGCTCTATATCTTGACTCAAAATAGCTGAATCTATTGACTGAATGGGTCAAGTTAAAGACCAGACAAGAGTTATCATAACAAACAAGCTGTCAAATATGCACGTTTTGACTATTCCCCCCCCCCCCCCCCCCCCCAATACATGCTGAAACAACAGGCTGTGAAGTTACTTAAAATTCTGATCTCAACATACAACACGAGGCTCTTACCGTTCTGGCACCAGTCATCTGAGCTAAGGCCTCTTGCAGTCTCCTCCCATCATTGTGCTCATCCAGTTCAATCACTTTGTAGGTTGCACCAATTTCATTGAACACATTCTTGGCCATTTTGCAATAAGGGCAGGTGGTCTTCGAAAATATCACAACACAGTTCTGTGACACCATCTCCTGAAAGGTCAGGCAAAAATAAGATTTAATTAAATATCAGCAGAACACAGAAATAGATGGCACATACCAGACCTCAAGGGAATTGCTGGGTAAACACAAAAGGAAACCTAAATCACCGTTATTTTAATTAAATATTTCCATGGTTAATACATTCATCCTCTACAATCAAACAACATTCTAAATCATACATTTTCTAAAAGTTACAAAATGTAACCCCACCCCGATCATATGGGAAAGGTAGACATGCGAAATTATCAGCAAGGGTCTAGAAATTAATGTCATATCGCGCTACATTCAAGATATTTCAAGGCCTTGTCTGTCAAAACTTTTGGATTGTTTGTTTTTTGAAATATGAAGTTAAGTATGCTACCTTTGGGTCCATTTCATAAGAGATCAGTATGAATCTACTTACCCGAACATACTGTACACAGGCTGTGCTGGACAAACCCCCAGTAGTGGAGGATGTAAAATTCCCCATTCTGAAAAGGATAAAGCACAATATTGGAGCACACAGCACTTGAAAGCATTTGGTATAGGCTACTTGTACATTAAAATCTCTTGGAATCTAACTGGCACTACAAGGATTAACATTATGCCCAGGTCCATGCAATAACCTTAGAAACGTGAAGACATCGCATGAAGAGATGGATTGAAGGCTAATAATTAGAATCAAAATAATATCTAACTGGAGTTTAACTACTGCCCTGAAAATATCCATTCGCATTGTTATAGTCTCAGCTAAATAAATACCGTTTGTTTTACTCCCTGTAACGCCTGGTCTACAACTGCAGGTTTATGTGGTAAGTAATCCTGGATTAGGTGTACACATGCTCTTCCCTGGCACTGGTAATTAGCTCAGATTTCGTGTGGATGGGTGACATGCCAAACTCCATTAAAATATATACATTTTTAGACAGCGCGCTTTTGTGAAAATTAACAACACTTTGTAAAACATTGTTGTAAATGTTTAATGAAACGGGACCACCTTATTGTACATTCGGTAACGTTATACACTTGATACACCTCCCGGAATTTAAATTTAAATGGAAATCTAAATTAAAATTGTTTCACCAAGTTACCGCACACCGCAAAGCACAAGTGAACGGTGGTAACGTGACCGTTAGCTAACGTCCAACAACAGGCATGCCAATGATTAAAGGGGATTTTTTTATGAAATAATGTACTGTTAATGAATCACATCCCTGCCGAATTTGCCAGAGGAATCGACTGAGTCGTAAAGGCTACACGCAATGTGTGCTTTTCGATGAGCAAGGCGCTTTAAAATAGATTCAACTTCACATTATAGGAGATTATTATGAAACACTTCTGTTCGGCAGAGGACAGTGCAGGGACTACGCCATGTTCAAGTTACTATTTTAACGTTACGTTTGGCAGTAATATTTTTCTAACGTGTGCATTGTGGTTGATATAGCTAGCTAGCTATAATTTTAGTCAAACTAGCGGGAATGACCTTCGGCAGCCGGTCCATGCCACCCTGGGAAGACATCCTGCTCGAGCAAACATGGAGATAAAACAAGATATGGCCAATAAATGATCGAGCTGTTGGCCTAGATGAGACATGCGGTTAACGAACTGACAGGTCTGCAGTTAACACCACGCTGGCTGCTACGGTATGCTTGTTTTCGGCTCTATTTGCACTGTTTATGCTTGTTAAAGCCTACCTTACGTGACCACCGGAAGCAGTTTCTGGCGTAAGCCGCAGTGTGTAACGTAACGCCCACAACGTCACTTCACAAGTTTACACCACTAACTTGCAAAAACTGAAAAAAAAGACATTGAAATCAGCTGTATTTTATTTTTATTTTTTTTGTGGAGAACTAAACGAAATGCTGGTACATTTATTTTCACCAGCCAATAAAGTTTTGGAGCAAATTGTCACGACTTCTTATATTTACCCTCAATTGGCATTGCGGTGGGAAAATGTTTGGTTTCACTAAAAATGACAAAAATGTATGTTCAGAGTAGGCTACTATGTGATAAATTTGCTTATTATTTTAACCAAGTTTTCTTTGTATAAGTCAAGATTCTTAAAAAAGAAGCCAAGCTTTCTGGAAATGGCTGCTAACATTAAGCAATATATTATTTAAATATCTGAATGTACAAACAAAAATTAAATAAAGTTTATACAAACATTGACAAGGGAAACATCTCTCTGTGATTATGGATCATCGCCAAAACTGCCCGCCAACAATAATATCTGGCTTGGTGCCAGATTATGGTGCTTTAATAGCGGCAAAAAATATAAATAAATAAATACTTTGATGGCAGTGCTGAAATAGATCTCAGTCATGACAGCAACAGTTCCTCACATAATCACTTCCTTTTTAGTGGTTTTGCCTGCAAAAAAAAGCGCAAGAAAGCTTGTTTAATGCCATCTTGTATTTAAAGTTGAACTGAGCTTTTACTTTGAAAAACTCTGAACGGCATTAAAAGTCTGTAGCCTGCTTGACACACCTCTAAAAGAGCCCTCAGAGATCATGATTCCACTAAATGTCCTCTACCTGGAGATAGTGGGGAAATGCAAAAGCGTCCGTAGGTTGATGGATGAGGATTGTTGAATGATATGACCTTCCTAAATTTTACAAAACATTTATTTAATTTTTCTTCAGCCTTTGTTTTGGTTATATTTTTTTCGATAACCCCTTGATCTTTCTGGCTTATTTGTGATTTGTGTCTGTATAGAATAAATGTTCAGACAAATTGTTTACCTGCTGAATATCCATGTCCAAGATTGGATTAAAAAATGTATAAATAAAGCAAAGAACTTAAATTGCTTCTATTAATACTCTTTAGTTCAAGTGTTAAAGTGCGCATTATTTCCCTACCAGATTTTCGACAAATCTGCTTTTAATTGAGTAGTAGGCTATTCGTTGCCTCCATTGGTAAAGTACGGGAAAGTTCAATCTCAAAACGTTTTGCACCGGTTTGCAACATTTTCAGATTGAATGGGTGCTTAAGTCTTAAGTCTCTTAATTGCATCCACTTTTCCCTTTCTTGCCTCTTTTCCTTGCGTCTTAGTCACCGGAGATGCATGGAGAGACGCAAGGAAACCAAGCCAGGAGAGAAGGAACCAGGAAATATGTTTGTAGAGACATATGAGACCTCCTTTCCGAAGAGGAGCCAAGATGGCGACTTGAACTAACGCGCTTTTTGAGCTGTGCACCAACTTTTACAGAGAGTTTGTGAAATAAAAAAAATAAAAAACTCCTTTCCTCCCAAGCGTCACTAAAGCAACGTCCGTTTCTGATGATGGCGGCAGCTGGTCACAGCTGGATCAGCTGTCAGTTGGCTCTAACAGCTGTAGAGACTTTTGATGGAGCTTGTGTCTACATACTGTACATGTGCACTGTGTTTGTACTAATAAAGTCTCACAGTTATCAGTGCAGAGCAGCATGAATCTCTGTTACCTGTTTAACAAACACCTGCACATGAATAATTTTGGGCTGATGTCCTGCTCAGAGGCACAGGATAATTTCTACTGGCACAATCTGCATTTAGATTATTGATTCTGATTGTAAATTTGTTATTGAATAACCCAGTACATGATCATGGTGTCTTGGGATTTATTAGGCTAAATGTTTCAGGGAAAGTGAAATGATGTAACTTGTATCAAAGTCGACACTCAGTTTTTGGCTTTTCCGTTTATTTCCTCTTCTGATATCCTTCAACACTACTGCATACATTTAATTTGCAAGTCACATCACTTGTTACCGGTCGATCACTGCGTTCCATCATTTCAATCCAATGAATTTTTTTAGCACAGCAGCGCTTTCATTCATTGTTTCATCAGCTGATTTTACTCGCGTAGCCGCTGGCTGCTTTCATCAGATAGGCTACTTTGTTTGCTTCATTAGATACTTTGGTGCAGTTGAGTGACTTGTCCGACTCACGTGTACTTATTGTCGTCTATTTGGACTAAACACAGGAATGACCAGACTCACATGTGACTGAATAGAAATGACAATAAATTATGTAAAACATGTTTCTTGCAGACAGACTCTCTGACTTTAATTCATTATTTGGCTCCATAATAAAAGTTGATGGAAGAAATAAAAGAAAGAAAGATCTTTCAAATAAATAAAGTTGTGTGTGGGGCCTTTGATGTTCGGACCTGCAATGAATACAGATTTTAACAAGACAGTGAATCATAAAATAACTCAAATATAGGCTAAGACTTTGCAGTGACTTGAGTTTAATCTGTCCTGATGTATCAGATCAGTCCAATCAGCTACAGTGTCCTATCCCTCATCATTACCCACGCCGTATGTTTCGCTTTTTTGACACTCTGACTGGGCTCTACGGTTGCCCTCAAAAATAGAAACCCACTGTGTTTCTTCAACAATCCCATACCTATTTTGTTACTATGCAAGTAATTATATGCTTCTGTGCTTTTGTAATTCTATAATAATAACTCTTTGCTATCAACACCCTCAGAAAAAACAAGGTAATTAACAATGTCGATGTAGCTAACATCGGGCCACTGCTTCATGTCATCTAGCCACTCCGTCAGAAGGGATGGGTGAGGGACTGTTACAGTACTGTCTTCACAATTTGTTAAAACGTCCAAAGTATGTATCCACCTCCATTTCTTGTCCATTTGCGCTTCTTCCATAACGAAACACTGGCTTTGACAGCAGCCATAAAGCTATCAAACTGTTATTCTATTACTAAATCCTCAGTAATGTTATAAAGTTTTAACCTAAAACATACATCTGGCTCGTGATTTAGCATTACAGAATATTCTTGGTTCGTGAAACTTAAAATGACTTTGGAGCAAATAAAATATACAACAACAACAGTGGTATGAATTGAAACATTGCTTTATTGTTATCATTAGGCTATTATAAATAAATATTTGCAGGAATTATAGTATTAATATACTATATTAATAATATATAATTATTGTATAGTAACGCATAATGTACACTGATAACTACGTTGACACTTGACACCTCTTTTTTAACGGCTCTTTTTTTTTGTTTAACGGCTATGCATGGTCCAAGCGGCCGAGATAAACGCCATCACGTTTTGTGCACGGTGGCTTCTGGCACAAACCATATATGGAAGTTCAACTTCCGTCAAATTTTTCTGCAGGCTGCAGGTGGACCCAAATAAGAGCTTTGGGATGGCCTGCAAGATGGCGGAGCGGAACAAGAGCCGGTTGAATCGAGGAGCGAGGAAACGACAAATAAAGAGACTTGAGAAGCACCCAACGACATGTTTCCTTGCAACGTTGCGCAACGTTCTGCAACGGGTTTCGGGGTATGTTTTCTCCCGTTTGGTGGGCGTGTCTCAGGTGTTACCCAATCAGCTGCAACAAGTTTGTAAACACGGTGTAACGGTGTTAACAAGGCAGGAAAATTCTGCGCCGACAAAAACGTAGCAAAACATTTTTTTCTACGGAAACGGGAGTTCCCTGAGCACCCTGTTGTGAATGCAAGCGCACTGCATTTTCCATTGTGTTTACAAACTTATCGCAGCCGATTGGGTAACATCTATGACACGCCCATCAAACAGAAGAAAACATACCTCAAAGCCCGTTGCGGAACGTTGCAAGGAAACATGTCGTTCAATCCAAAAACGTTGCAAACCGGTGCAAAACGTTTTGAGATTGAACTCGCTCCTGGGGCGAGTTCAACTATGGCTTCTTCAGGTACACTGAGTGAAATCATTTTGGCGTGCGGTGGTTTGGTTTTGATTTTTCACACACACATCTATCTATCTATCTAAAGAGACCAGTGGAATTCCAGTAGGGGGTAGTGAAAACATTCTGCTTCACACTCTGTACACAGCCATCAAAGCTGGTGCAAATGCTGATTATTTCCTCCTTTATCTTCAGAGGTTTTCATTTCCCCTCCCTCTTGCAGGAACGAAATACAGGAGGAAATGCATTAGTTCAGAAGCAACTATTTCCCATTACCATGTTATCCCAAAATAGGCTCACAGGCTAGGGAATCAATCACAAATCTAAAGATATCTAATGAGGCAGCACAGAAGTGCTTCACTTCAAATACCTTTTTTTCCAAAGCCAAGCAAGAAATGCATCGTTTCAGAATGGATTAACACCATCAAACACATCTGCAGTTTTGCCCTGGAGTGGGTAATATACTGACACAAATCCAGAAATATTATGAAGGACAGTGAAAAATAGCATCATAGTTCAAATACAGCATTGATAAAAACATGATAAAAGAAAAGGAGGATTGGTCCAACTGATCTCTACGACGTCAGTCATTTTGGTCAGGCTGAACGGGCTTCAACATCAAACTGGAGTCTTCACCTTCCTGGCTGGACTTTAAGGTGTAAAACCTGTTTCTTCACATAAAAAGGTAATTGCTTCTTTTTGGGAAAAGGCTTCATCCACCATCTTTGTACAAGTGTGAGTGTGTGTTACATTACACCCATGTACCCATGTGAAATCTTTAAATCCTCTCCAGTAAGTTGATCAAACCAACATAACCTGCAGGCCTACTGCTATCATACCTTCACCAAAGGTTGGTCATGGTGCAAGGGAAAAACTGATTTCCCCTGGCTGGCCAAAGGGTTGCCTTGGCAATATCACCATACAATGACAGGGATATAACCTCTGAAGGGAGTCATGTTATAACATTAAATTTGGTGCTCCTAAAAGACACAC